GTGTAAAAGAATTGAGTCAGCTTGTAAATTGTTGTGTCATGGCTTTATATTTGATTGTGTTGATGAAATGAACAACGAAGAAAATAGGATATTCGTTTAAATAAATATATTATTTTGTGGCACCTTCTATCCTGAGATCCTAAGTTGACACTCCGAAATCTTCCCATTCTATCTGGCTACCACCGGGGAAGCATCGCACCCTTACTTTAACCAATCCACACAGTTGACCTCCCAATGCATTCAACCCATTTACATTCACATATACCGTTGCCACAACAATTATCTCCACAACTACTCATCTGTTACTGTCTACATTTAACAACATCCCGACATACTAAAACCCCCAGGTATGGAGAGTCAAGGTAAACCATCACCCCAATTCCTTCAGCAAATAATAAAACATTTTCTGGACTGACTATGCTTGGATAAGTAACTTAAATGAATTTACACGGCTGAAATGAACTGAACTTTACAGATGTTTAAAAGACTACTTGTCAAAAGAACTAAACTAACATTACCAAAAACCATTATATGTACAGTGCTCTCATCGCCCTAGGACCTATGGGCCCAAATTGAGAGGGATAACCAAGCGTTTTGGCATCAACAAAATCCAATGTTTCTAATCTAAAATCCTGCGGCCAATAAGTCTTCAACGATATAAACTATAAAGCATTGACTTCAATCTAAACATACCATACATCCCAAACCTGTCCCAATAGATTCTAAATTGTCCTCTCATTCTATTGTATTATTAAGCTACATAGGATAACATTTCCTTCTAATCCTTGCGGGAGACTGACCGCAGGCGATAGATTTATGTTTTTATGGTCTGAGCACCAGGTGCCGGCTTTGACAACATGTCTTACTTGTTAGATAGTCGTTCAAAACTATCACGCAGTTACTTGTTGCATTTCTTTGCACATATTGATTTGAACTAGCACCTCACGATGTTTTGCCATGCGCAGAGACGACGTTTCTCGATCACCGTGTCTACCTCGTCGCGATGTTTCATAAATAAAAATCCCGTTCCTCTGGAGATTTATCTGTCCGAGGTCGTTTTACGGAAAGGCCACTTGACATATTGGAGGGATGAGAATGGTGTGAAGAGGTGTTAATATTCCGTCCGTCCTGAGAGGTGGGCCCGTTGACTTATGGGGGAGCCCGTCTCGGCTGACAGCTCGAATTGATGCCTCCTTCACTCACACTGATGACGACAATCCGCCAACTCTTGCTCTTTTACCCTTTCAAATCTGGCCCGGAGCAACACCGTCTTACAACACCTGTACACGTATTTTATTACTTAATCACCGTGTCTCTACCCAGTTCCTGTCTGTCGTTTTCATTACTAAGACATAACAAACAACTCCATCGTCCATTTCGACCAAATGCCAAATACTTTATCGCTTTATTTTACCTACTCTATGGATAGAATCATGTACAATATTTGCATTGAAGTTTTGTTCGCAAAACCACCTCCTGATCAACACTGATCATAGTGTACTAAGTTCCTCATTGAATATGGTGTAAGTTAAAATGATTTCAGTCCAAAGAGATGATTTTTGAGGCATATATCACCATTAGACAAAAGGAAATAAATGTAAAAATCAACAATTCACAGTTAATTAATTAATTATTTAGCAACAATGGATAATGAAATTAGTTAGCAAGCATATAAATGGTTACCAGGTAAATCAGTAACGTGATATTACAGTTAGGTGCAAATACGAATAAATAAATAGAAATAACCATAAAAATATAAAATGCGAGCAAACGCTTCGGTTTTAGATAAATACTGAAAAAAATAAATTCCCAACACGATGTGTTACAAATATGAGGAAAAATAAATAACGGGACAAGCACATTACCGCAGTACACTGCTGTCCTTGACAAATTAGCATAAGCAATCGTTTTTATGCTGCTTTGAAGTCAAGTGAGGAAATCAAGTTTCTCGATGTCTAGACAAACCATACGGATCTGATAGGCACCTTTCTTTGTGTTTCTTTTTTTCGCAGGAAAAAAACAAATTCTCAAGATACTCCACTACACATCTTTAACAGTTAGGGGCAGCTCTCAGTCCGATTTTGTACAAATAGGATTCACAGATTCCATGACTGGTATTTAAGCGTGAGATCGTTGAGAAAAATGCTTTTGTCTATTTTTCACCTCGAAACCATGGTTTTTTTCGCAATTCTGGGAAAAAGAGCACGATAATACTACCCTTCTGAAGCTGATTCATTTTGTGACGCTTCTCTTTAAGAAAAGGTTTATGGTGTTGGCTTCAGAGATTCGGTCTCCAGGAAGGCACCTTTAACGGTTGCCTTGTTGGCGAAAACTTCTACACTTTCATTTTGTTTAATGCCTACGTATTTCTTAAGCCAGCTTATCACTATTTTTCCCTTGTCCCGTTAGTATTAAAATGTTACTAACAACTTTGACTAGAATTTTATAATATGCTGTTATGGTTAAAATTCGAAGTTTAGAACGGATAAATCCACACTTTTCTTTACTGGGTTTCCTACTTTTTTGCTTCTCTTTTTGCACAAGAGCTCATGGAGAACAAGTGCTCCTGCGTCCTCGGCATCGGCCTCTTTCAGACGAGGCGGTTTGGTTCAACTAAGTGGCCCGGTTGACTCTCAACTAGTTTACTGCCGTGTGAAGACTAGGTTTCACACCAGGTAACTTGTGGAATCAACCTCTCTTCCCAACGATATTTTCTTATATTTCGACCTCAACAGTTTAACTTATCATTTTTCCTTCTTGAAGGTGGGATAATAGGTCATCTCAAAAACGTTTCGGATTTATTTTAATCCTTCTCCAGGTGAGTTAACGCAATGGTTAAAACAGTGGTCGTCAGTCATTAATATTTTATAACAGTATATTTTAAAAAAGAGCCAGGGTGGTACATATTATTACCTGATCAGGTTCAAAATATTAAAAAGTCTCTTCTCAACGGGAGGTCAGTACATGGAGCACTTCTTGTGCTTGCTCTTCTGCAAAAAGAGAAGCAAAAAAGGAGGAAACCCAGTAAAGAAAAGTGTAGGTTTGTCTGGTTACTATTTCCTGGTTTGCTATTTCCCTCTCTTTTAATTTTATCACTATACTCCTCACCCCTCATGTCCCATATCACGGGATATCACGGGACTAATACGAATATGTTCAATGAACTGCTCCATATTGAAACATGCAATTGCAACGCTTTCCATGGTGAACTCAGTTGTCCCAACTAGGCGACTGGTGTGAAGGACAAATGTCGAGGACATCGTACTGACCTCCCCTTGGTAAGAGAGGTTGATTCCACAAGTTGCCTGGTGTGAAACCGAGTCTTCGTAGCAGTAAACTAGTTGAGAGTCAACCGGGCAACTTAGTTAAATCAACATTGTCTGAAAGAGGCCGCTTTCTGGATAGAAATAAATAAGTTGCGTACAGACTGTGAAATTGAAATTGGATACTGTTGAAAAATACTTAAGTTTTGAGTTATCGAATAAAAGAGAGATAATCCGATGAGTCATTCCAGTAGGATGACCACTGTCATTTTATGATCCTCCGAATACCTGTGATTCATCCAAGCAAATACACAATATACTATAAAACTCCAAAACAAAACATCTTGTGAATCGCGAATTTTGTAATACATTTCAGTGAACTATAACTTATTATTAAACTAAAAATCTATACCAAAACAATGTAGGCATAATGATATGGATATAATTTTGATGTTGTCGTCGTTGTGACTGTTCATTACAAAAAACAAAGATTCTAGGTTAATATTAGATTTCTTTTACATTCCATAGAACGATTTTCAGCAGATCAGAATGTATAAATTTACACAAATGGGATAGACCATCGAATTCTGCCAGAATAAAATAAAAACAAATAAAACGTAGGAAATTGTTATTTCACAATTTAATTATACATTGTTTAAACAAGCTTATAATGAGTTCCGGACGTATTGTGTTCGAAAAGGGGAATTTCAAAGATCACGCGGTCTGCGGTTTATCACGGTTCACTTTGAGACTTGCAAGCGAAAACGTGGGTGACTCAATTTCGGCGTTTGCCCTTACAATTAAGCCAAAAACGCTTTTGTCTCCTATATGCCCCGCTCTTTGAACAATAACAAAAACAAAAAATAAGGAACTCGTAGAAATTCACGCTTTAATGGAAATTGTTTCAGGGACATTTGTCGTCGAGGGTCGGCGGCGGATCAACGGCAAAATCTCGTTCAAAAGTCCGCTCATTTTCAATTAAAGAATCCTTTATATTTTATCCTATTTGCCCAATTTTTTGATCCTTTTTTATGTCAAAATAACGCAAAGTTGGCGGGTTCATTGGTCTGCGAATGGATGTCGAATTGATCAACACTCAATTTTACTGGCTTCGCTTATTCTCATATATTTTACTGTGAAGATGACAAGAAGAACAAACGCGGCTGTGAAATTTAACCATGCGAGGACAGACGGACCCAGGAAATAAGTGTCGTTCAATTTAACATTAATCTTTTTCTGTCACATTGAATCTAGTCTGGAAGAAAAAATTGAACGTGATTAGCCACAGTTCAGTTTTTCGTCCATTTTCTCCATTTTTTCCTCAAGTTAACAGCTTTCCTTGGCGTTGCCACAAAACGTCTGTGGCATGGATGATAAAAAGTTAGCATTTTGTCTCTTGCTTGCCGCAGCGAAGAATAAGATTTAAAAAAAATAACTTTGGCCAAGTAGTAATTGGACGGGAGTATCCCTGATGATATAAACCTGCTTGAACGATGGAGGAATAATGAGTTCCCATCGACCATGTCTACATAGTCAGATGAGATATGAACTCTTATTAACTTTCTGGGAAAAATAGAATCGTATCGGTCCTAAGTAATTTTCATAGTTAAGAATCATTCAGAAGAGTTGAATTAAGCAGAGCGGCGGAAGAATTCTTCATGATCGCCTATGCCCTTTACACGGCGGAAGAAGATATAGTCACAAAACTTTTTAATAAAATAAAGAAAATTGTCCTACCGTGCTGGACCGACGGCAGATGCTTGAAAGGGTCCGTCGGGGTTTCCTGCTTTAGCCTCATCTCTCGTTGCTGGAAGTTTCCTGGTGCCTCCAAATAAGGTCTCTGCCCGATCCCAAGTGCCCGGAATTGCTGGTTCTGACCTGCTGTATAAACAATCATAACTTTAATATCATGTGATAACCAATACCTTCATGCATAGTTGGAGCGTTCATCGCCATGAATAATCGAGTAATAATTCAAACGGTAGTAATGTTTGATGTTAAAAGTTGTTCCGCTGGGAAGAATTTTCGATGTGCTAAGAACGGGGAACATAATGACATTTAGGGGGAACCGCAAAATCAACCGCTCCCGGTTATCTTTAATTCAGGGGCCTCATCGCCCGTGTCCAAGTGTGAAAAGCCTGTTTCATTCATGAATTGTACCGATCGATGGAATAAGTTTTACCTTTTATTATATCATGTGAGGCTCCACGTCATTTTTAATGTTAACTCCCCCCCCCTTTGAAACGAGGAAAAAATATAAACGTAACATACGTGATATGGGGTTTCACGAGTACCAAATTTTTAATGGGATTGAATCGCCTATTTCATAAGAACCTTGTTAATAATTAATTATTTGTGTTTTACTCAAGTATTTTTACTTAATATTACTTTAGGTAAAATAATTCTTGACAAGATAATCTGGACGAAGTACACTTTTGTGAGTTTTTCCTAAGTAGCAAAAGGGTCGTAGTTTGTTCGGTTTCTATCATGCAGGTCTGCCTTCTTCAGTGATTGATCAGAGCGTCATTTGTCAAAGATCCACATTGAAGATGACGAGAAGTAAGTAATATGTACCAATGGGTCATATATAAAGAAACTCAATTAAAAATTTGACCTTGACTTGAAATACCTCATGACCAGAAAAAAATCGTTGAAATTAAATTATGTGACTTATTTGTAGTGGAGAAAATAAAAAAATTACATTTATAATACTTGTAGTTTAGACGTTTCCGTTTATTTTCTGCATATTCTCGCTGTTTTTGTCCCTCCAACGCGCTTGTTTTGTGAAGGTTTGCGCTCTTGCCTCTCCCTGCTTATATCCTTGATGCCTGAATATAACGAAATGCCGAAATGACAGACCGAAACTGCGAGGAAGGTTAGACCAAGATAATTGAAAACGACCAAAATTCAGGTTCACCACTATGAGAACGGTTTTTCGCAAGAAATAAATTTACCGTCGGAATTTAAGAAACAAATCTTTATTCCTTTTTACAAATTAGAATTTAAAAAAAAAAAAACTTGTTTTTCTTCGCAGTTTGTTTGTTTACGATGAATTTGGTCTGCCTATTTTGGGTTGGTGTGTCAGAGGAGTTTAGGCATTTCTCCAATCTTCAATGGACTAGGTGTTATTTGTCAAAGACCCTACACTGAAGATGGCGAGAAGTAAGGAATAAGCTTGGTCTCTAGATACATTCCAGTTCTTTATCATGTTTTATGCTCTTGTCCGTCCCTGCTTATATTGTTGATGCTTGATTATGACAACGTGCCGAAACGACAGACCAAAACAGCGAGGATAGGCAGACGTATTATATGCACATATCCGTGTATATAAGTAGTTTTATTTCACATAAATGTGTATGATAGTTAAAACGAAACTTCGAAAGGTGGAAGGGGAAGTTTTATTGTTTAGTGTTAATATAGGTAATTGCTTTTGGTCCTGGGTATTGTAATTACAAGACGGCGTCTTTCATTTACGTCAAGAAGGCGAAATTGGATATTGAGAGGTGCCGCAATTCCAGATGTCACTGACAACAGGTCCGACTGACAACTGATAATAACACCGAGGGTAATTAAACGTCCCAAGACGCCCTAGCACCACTTGACCCTCCCCCAAGTTCAACAACGCCCTTTCTGTTAAAGGGATACAATCGTAACAAATTCAGTTTTCATGAGTTTATTGTCCTTACCTCATTGACCTTCGCGACATTGACTTTAGAGTAAAGACTAATTAAAGCACAGGATTATTACAGAAATTAATGCCATAGAACGAAAAATAAAACAGTTATGAAGAGCATACAAGTTCATTACAAACTAAGCGCCTTCTCACACAAAAGCCCCATGAACCCTCAACAATAAAGAAAGATAGAAACAACATGTGACATACAAAAAGGGCGAAAAAGAGGACCTTGAAAACTTAGAAATATGCAAACACCACCCATTCAACACGAAAAGCATCTGAATACATAGCTCACACACATGATTAAACCACTTAAGACAAAAGAAAAAAAGAAAAGAACTGATGGTCACAAAACCAGACCTGAACAACCAAACAAAACAAACTCAATCCATCAAAAAATACAAGACAGAGAAATATAACGCCGACACATTTACACCTTACAAAAACTTTTAATAGGGATAGAACCTATAGACATAAATCACAGAGATTCACTGAAGATGGCGAGAAGCTGAATCTACAGGCCAAAATGATCAGAACGATCATGTCAATATTAAAATTAGCTTTTAAAAACAACAAATTGAATAGGTTTGCGTTTGCTCGATTGTGTTATAACAGAAGAATCAAAAATATTAATTGGTAACGAAACATGCCGGGCATTTAAATTTGACTTTTATTTGCGTTTAAGTGGTTATGTTCTCGACACTAGAAGAAAAGAAGTAATGGTGTGTATTAAAGGTTCATAAATAATTCAAAGGGTTGTCTTCGCCCCGATGGATTGTTTGACCAAAAAGCATTCATATTTAAATGCGTTATACGATGTTGCATGTGAGAAGGGACAGGTGGGGCGGGTCAACATATGACATTACTTGTTCATAAACTGGATTTCTCAGATTCCGCCTGTTTGCGTTACATTTTCCAACGCTGTTGTGTAATTTTTGATAATGAAGGGAGGAGTGGAATCGAGCAATTTGAATATTACTTTTCTTCTTCTTCAATTGAAGGCGGTTTATTTTAATGAAGGCAAATAAAAAGAAAATAATAATAAAATACATGTATGTCTTGTGCTTTATTTTGGCTAATACAGATTGATTTTTTCTCTAAATATTGCAGAACACACCAACCAACTTCTTTTCCCAACGGGACCCTGCTACTTTTTCCACATTTTTTGTAGTGTTTAGACTCTTTAAAACATAGAAAAAAGAAATTTTTAAATCATATATGCCTCTCAAAATTTATTCCCAATTTTATGTGAAAAATTCGTTGCTCCTCTATAACTCCACACCTCCTAAAAATGTGTTAAAATGTTCCTCAAAATGTCTCAGTTTTATCTGAAAAACAAAAAGATTTAAAAAATTGTATACAATAATTAATAATCCTTGTTGACATGCATTTATCGACAGCTTCTTTTGATGTAGATAAATTAAAGTTTCTTGTTTTATTTATTGATTTATATTAGAAATAATAAAAAAAAGTTTTTGTTTTCATATAAAATTGATACAATGAGACATTTTTAAAAACATTTTGAACCATTTTAAAGAAGGTGTAGAGTTATAGGGGGCCAACTTATTTTTCACAAAATTGAGAATACATTGTGAAAAGGATGTCTGATTTAAAACATATTTTTTTAAAAAACTAAATCCTATCAAAGTAATACAGCCCCGTTAAAAAAAATTTGTTTGGTTTATTCTGCAATATATAGGAAAAAATAAATATATATTAGCCAAAATAAAACTGAATGCTTATATGAAATACTTTTTTAAATTGCCTTCATTAAAAAGGTGGGTAAAAGCATGTAAGGTCGGTCACCCTGTATACAGCACTGTAGTAACAAAAAGTTAATTAATAAATAAAAAGATTGTGTGGTTTTTCACTTTCTTTCCCTCGGCCAATCTCTCGCTCTCTCTCTCTTTTCTCTTTCTCTCTATCTATCTTTATCTTCCCCAGCCACACAGAACATATACAATAAATATCTACTCATTCCCAGCCAAATCTGCTCGCTCAATTTAGTGCAATTTTTTCATAATTTTCATTTACGTCGTTGACTGTTGATTGTAGATTTTTTCTGGGCGATTGATTTATATTTGACCATGAGGTGTTGATTGTTGATCCAGTCAAACAAATTCAGTGCTATTTTATATCAAGGTTATAAAATGGTAAATAAAAATAATTACATGTAATACAAATGCGAAGCAGATATGAAATAAAGAAATGTTTAAAGAAACGCAAACTCTTTCTCTCTCTCTTTTTTTTATCTCTCGCTTTCTATTTCTCTAAAAAAAGGAACTTTATGTTGCTTGGTTACAAAGTATGTATTTCAATATATGCTATTACCAATGCTAGGGCAATCATGCAATTACGATTCGCCCCACTGAGCCTAAGGAGCCTTCCTAAAACTTTTTTTTAAAACAATATTTATTTTTTTAGGTACTACAAGTAAAATTTTTGATATGTACAAATTTTAAAATAAACTAAAGCAAAATATGGCATAAGTAAACGCTCCATTTTTCGTAGGAGTGGAGAATCTGGAAACGATGAAGGTTGGAATGTTTGGTTCAACCCCACAGTTCAGCCCCGTATATCCAATTGGGTTTAATTATCTCGTATATAAGTCGTTTGTTGTTAAGCGTCGTTTTTGATCGATTGTCTAGAAATTGTGAAAGCCTTTTGTAAGTCTCGTCAGTTCCTGCATTTTTAAGTCTTTTATGTGAATTCCAAGTCAGTCCTTTGTCAATATACTGCCACAAAATAGGAGACGTTAATGTAGGAAGGGATTGTGATGTAAGTATTGTGGTGGCCAAAATTCTAAACCCTGTGTGTTTTATATCAATTTCAGGCCTCATAAACAGATTTTGTGTCATTAATAGGTAACCTGGGTGTCAGGACAGAAAGGAATTTTGGCTAGGGAAAAAGCAGAAACACTGGCCAGAGATATCTGCAAGATGCAAGGCCCCGAATCTGTACTTGGGATAACAAAAATAAATACAGAATCCTCCATCACAGAATGGATCAAAATAAAACAAAAGAAGAATTGGATAAACTCTAGGGGCGCTAGGGACAGTAAACTTAGGCTAAAACAACCCTCACCAAGACCGGCAAATACCATGAGAGGGCAAGACTAAGAGAAATGGTAGGACTATTAACCAACCGGTCACTGGAGCCTGAGAAAACATCTAAATACCATGGGGATATATAACGATGATCCCAT